ACTAGGTGTTGCTGGAAAACTTCCAAGTATCTCTAACCTGGACTCCTGCTGAAGGAGATAGACTGTGCTTACTGGAATAAACAGGACTAATTTAATGAGCAGTGGGTCTACTTTTTCAGCAATGAAGATAAAAATAAATATGGAGCAGCTGCCTACTTCACTATGCAGCAGCCACAGGCTTTAATCCATTTGATAGACCATAAATCTGCACAGAAACCAAAGAACAGTGGGAGTATTTTATATTTATGAATCTATTATACTCACGTAATATAACATTACACTATTTGTCTTTAGCACATCTGCATATGTATATATCTTTTGATATGCTATGCACATAAAATATATATGCATATAATATCCATATCAATAGAGAAGTATTTCTATATCTAAATTTATCTAAATTTAATTAGTTGGCCATATTTGAAAAATGTATTGTAAGCAAAAGAAAGACGACTTGGATTATCAACTGGAGCCATGCACAGTAAACACCACCCTCACATACCCTAAGTCTGTCTCTAAACCAGACATCATTGTGCTAAATTCTATACAGGTAAAATATAATTATCAGGATGTTTCATTACAAATATGCAAATATTTAAAATTTCAGAATCATAATTTGGATATTACAGTCCCACACAACTGTATTTTGTAGTAGTGGATATGTAAGGTGAAAAGTACAGCAGTTAGAAAGATTGAGCATGTTTTTTTTCATATGGATCTAAGTTCATAGCCAAATCAAAAGAAAGCTTTTATTTTAAGCAAAATGTGTCACCTGTTATTCCTGCATACCTTTCAAATGTTACTGTTGAAAAAAAGATTGTGCTAGGAAGTATACTATTAAAATAGCTTTCTATCTTGAGCAGCTATGTACATTTACTGTCAATGAGCATGTTCAGTAAAGAAGAACCTGAGCTGTCTACCGAAGGATGATAAATCATCTTTCCCTAAAATGATATCAGCAACTAGCAGAATTTATTAGACCTAATATTCCTTCTTAGCCATCAGGGAAGAGTAGTGCCTTACATCATTTAAAATGCCAATGAGGATATGAATTTTTTTCACTCATTCAGACTTTGCTTTACCACCTTCAGGGTGAAGGAACTTCCATGCCAGTTGTTTAGGATCAAACCTGAAGCTCCCATCAGAAGCTCTGCACAACACAGGCCGTAGCTGCCAGCCTCCTTGGCAGGGATGGGATGCTCAGAGCACCCAGCATCTGTGCTGAGGTCCCAGCGATTCACTTTTCCCCAGTGGTTCTCCATAAACACCAGGAACTTTGCTTCTCTCATTTCCTTCTAATACATAAATTCAGCAGGCTACAGAAACATCTACTTGGCTGAGTTTCTGAGATGGCTAGATTTTGGAGGGTGAGCGGGAAGAAAAAGAACCAGTCAAGTTTTTTTTTTTTTTTTTTTTTTTTTTTTCCTTAAAATAACATTCTAGCTGCAGGTTATGCTTAGATTCTGCTGTGGATCACCTACCACATTGCTAGCTTTTGTAAAACAGCTGTCAGGGCCAGGTATGCAAGATAAATTGTTACAAGTAATAGATAAATAAATACAGCCCAGAGAAAGTCATTTTATGCTACTTCAGGCAAACCCCTATTGATTGCAAGTTTCTAGGAAAACAAATTTGCTTCCTTATATGTCTATAAAGTGCCTAGTACACATCGGTGCTTTTACAGAAAATAGATATTAATAAGAAAAAATATTAATAGTAATCCTCAGGATATCTGCGAGATGAGTGGATACTTGCTTCTGGGGGATGGAAAGCAAGTGACAACTGAGGGAGTAAGTGTGGTCTAGGGAAAAAGCCTCTGATTAATTTTCCTTTATTTTTATTACAAATAATGTGACTAAAAATTTTGCTTAACAGCTACAAAGCTGGCAGACCACTGCCTTACCCATAGTGGTAAGAAATGGTCTATTCAGCCACATTATGATCTTAAAAAAATCAAACGTTCACTGTGTCATTTGTTTTATTTGTTTCTTCCCATGACCCTATGGAACAAACCAGTGGCTATTTTTCCATCATGCTGACTTGCACTCAGCGAACAGCTGATTACTCACTATCATGCATGTGTATCTTTGAAGTGCAAAGCAAAGTAAAAGAACATCCTTATTTACTTCTAAAGTGAAACCCCAGCATCCAGCAGAATTTTAAAACTGATTTTTCTAGGGCACTACTTCTTTCATCCTCCCAACACTAAATATTAAAGAAGAGAGATCTGTCTTAATTCAAGCTGAGCTCTGACCCTTGAAGTCTTATGATGCTGTCTGCGTTTAGATGAGTGCAGACTATTTTTCTCCAAGCCAGTTCACATCATGCAAGTTCCTCTCAAACTCTCTTCTGAATCCTGAATGTTAATGTCCCTCCCTCACCCCCTGGCTCGTGAAGGAATCGGGAAGCTGTGCAGTCTGGATGCTGCACAACAATTTTCATCAAAAGGCTCGTATTATTCCCATATCATTGACAAGAGGCTGACTCTTCGTATTAATCTTTTCTCCTTTTTGGCACCTAATTGGTGTCACAGTTTGTGGTTTTTTTAATAACATTTAATAGGGTATATTATTTTCTATATTCAGATAACAGATCCCATTAGTTTCACCTGCATTTACTCAATACTTCTGCAGAATCTAATTTGTGCACTAAGTAGCAGAAGCAGCCTCATTAGCCTCTGAACATATTTAAGCTACTTGCCAACATGAAATGAGGGCTCTGGGCAGGGATGTAATCCAGCCCATTGTGCAACTTTCAACTAGTTTCATCACTGCAGTACACATTTTTATTCCTTTTCATCACATGCCTTTCACTTCCATAAATAGCAAGGCAAAGCCGCTCGCCCACAGCCACCCACTCATCCACAGCCATGACTTAATAGTCATCAAGAAGCGGAAACAGTAGAAACTGTCGTCAGCTATAGCTGTGGCATTCAGGGGAAGGCAAAATTTGGAAATTCTTGTTTTTAAACCACTTGAATCCAACCCAAAGGACAACAGCATGTTTAACTACATAACCATGCTGCTCTAGCTGAGCAATGTTTGTTCAGAGCACTGAGTGAGGCAGGAGTCCCACAGCAAAGAAATAAGATCCAATAACTAAAACCAGTACTGTCATGTAAACATACAGCTGGGGTTGTACTGGTGACCCTCCATTTGACATTCCCTAACTTCCAAATGCTTAACTTTGCACCTTCAAAGCTCTTTTAACGTTGACTCTTCTTCCTAATTTCTTTGGACTCCTTCAGCAATGTGAACACTCCTCCATCCTAAAAACATGAACTGAGGATGATCCTAGCATGGTTAATCACCCAGACTGCACCAAAAACCCAAGGACAGATACCTGTAGTACGAGCCAGCACAGCGACTGTCAGCAGGGAGCAGGTGATGACTTCAGGGATGGGTCAGTCATGGGAAGAGCATGAGACATCAATGAATTTTCACAATTTTTTGCTTACAGAAGGGCATTGATGAGACTTTAGATGCAGAATTTTTAATCCTTGTAAGTGAGAGGGTCATAGGGCACAAACACCACCCTGTTGGGCACCAGCCTGAGCCTGGCCTCTTCTACTGTGGGCTCTCCATTAAAGTGAATCATTTGTGGAACTGACCCTCCTCCACAATGAGTTGGTATTTTTCAACAGAAAAAATTCCCAATGAACTCAATTAGCTGGAGTCTTCTATGTGCTGTCAAAACCTTGTACTTCCCCTCAACCTCATCTAAGCAGTTTTCTACAGTCAGAGAAGAAACGCCAGCTTGACACATGATGTGGAAACCTCCCAGCCAAATGGCTGAGGCTGAGCAGAAGTATTTTTTTGGGACCTTTTCCAAGTGGAGGAAATCAGGCATTTATCCCTCTTTACAAGCGAGACAGTAACTCACTGGGAACAGTCTCATTAAAGAAGTAAAGGAAACTCAGTCTCTCTTGGAATGGGAGCAGTCAGAAAAACTGAGGACATGTCTTAGAAGTTGCCTAATTGGAGATTTAAACCAAACCAAACTAGAGGATACTGCTTGATGCATATTTTTGTGAGATAATTTTTTTTGGTATTGTTGAGTGCTCATAACTCAGAGCACAATCTGGGGAACTGGATGTTGCAAACCAGTTCAAAACAGATTGTCCTGAATGATACGGTGTCTGCTCAGGTACAAAGACTCTGGAGGCCCTTCTTGCCATTGCAGCAAGGACACAGCATGTGCTCCTCACCCAGGGATCTAACTGCATCACAGAAGGGTGATGCCCCTTGTCCACCACCCAGAGGGATGGAGGTAAAAATGGGTAGTTTCTCAGGGATCTCTGCTAGAGGAAGACAGGGTAAGAGATCTCCATTTTATCCCCTGTAGGTTGAGCTAAGGGCACTTTAGCACTTCTAAAGTGGGTATTCCTTTGTGCCAAAGACAGCAGCAATTACTCTCCTCCCTTCAGTCCACCCAAAAAGAGAGGAGGTGGCTGGGAGCTACGTAACTCAAGAGCATGAAGAACAGCTACAGTGAAACCTTTTTCTCCCTCCCATAGAAAGCACCAGTCACTTTCTGGAGAGGCAGGAGTCACCCACCTCACAGTTTTAAATGAGCAGCTCTCAGATGCTGTTGGTGAGGTGCCTAACTCACCCACAGCCACATCTTCCCCCAGTAGCCATCAAGTAGTAGAAACTGCAGTCAGCTACAGCTGTGGCATTCAGGGAAAGGCAAAATCTGGATTTTTTTTTTTTTTAAAAAGCCTCCTGAAACCAATCTGTGGGACACAGTAAGTTGGCAAGTTGCAATGTACCTGGCTACCTTTCTGTAAGTAGTAGTCTGTGTGGTACTGGTGGAAACCCATAAATCCCCTACAGCCAGGTGTTTTGCAGAAAGAGGTATGTTTACAAGCATGGGGGGCAGGGGGGCTTATTGCTACATTTACACTTACAGGGAGGTAAAAAACATGTCTGGAAACCGTACCTATGGAGCTTAAAAAAATTATTATTATTAAAAAAAAAAAAGGTAATATCAGCCTCAAATTAGCCTGGTTGCCTACAGAAATGTGATTGCAGTGTATGTGAATCTGTTTTGCCACTTGCTGTGTCTATCTTTTGAACCAGATGACTAATTCTAGCTGAAGTTGATGGAACAACAGATGTCATGAGTTTTATGAAATTTGGTGGCCAGACTGAGGTGAGAGATGCAGCCTGTGGTCAGAGCTCCTGTGGTTTCTCTCCTGGGTGGCCTGGCAGCAATGTCTTCTGCCTCCTTTGCAGGTAGGGAAAAGGAAATGTGGAGGGGAGAAGAGGGTAGGAGGAGGAGTGGGGACAAGGGAGGGATGTGTGAAAGGTCTGTAAAGATGGCTGGGCTTACTCAAGTGTGAGTAAGGTGTGCAGAAAGATAGAGCACAAATGAATAAGGAACCAGGCATCACCAATTCCAGTGCTCACAGGAAAAAACTCTCTATATAACTGGCTCTGAGTGTTTTATGTCAACCAGAAATATCTGGAATTGCAAAGATTTATTCTCTTATGTATTTGTAGATTTTAGTGCTTAAAATTTCAAGGCATTGCATATCTTTGCTATGGGACTTCCTTTAACCCCTTTGCTGCTGGTCCTTCTTGCATCTTCTGTGCTGCGGCAGAATGTGACTGTTTTTCTTTGCTGTGCCGGTGCTCTATAGGTAGAAACCAGGGTATCTGTGTTGGGGTTTCTGAAGCATAAAGTGGGAAAAAGCCAGAAGAAAGACTTTTTCTTGTCCTGGGAAGGCAAGGGGAAATAATGAGGAAAAATAAAGGTGGTGTAGGGTGTATTTTAGGATGACAGCTTAAATAAAAGAAAAAAAAAATGAAGTGAAACCACAGGATGAGGGGGAGATATTCCAATGCATTGAATTGGAGATGAGTCTGTTGGTTATCAAGTGATGTTTTTACTGAGATGACCCCTCTTTTTAAATTCTTAAGAGTTTTAAGACAAAATCCCCACTGGGGGATGCTTTTGAGAGGCAATAACTTTATTTAACAATTGAATTTGCAACCTGTGTTGAACTTTCTCACAGCTGACTTAGGGCAAAAGTTGTCTTCAATGTAATTCTCTCCAATATTTCTCAGAGCAATGCCTGAGAACTCTACAGGCAGAATCCCAATGTAGGACCCCTGCCTGTGAGGCGTGAAATGTTGGGGCTCCACATGTTTGATTGCTGCCAGTGAGGAAGTGAGGGAGGCTGAGGAGAAACACAATGGAGCCTGTGTTCCTAGTCATGCCAATCTTTTTGGCTCCCAGAGAACAGGTGCACTTATTTTTTTCATGGAGTAGCTCTAAATTGCCCCCTTTTCCCATCTGGATCCCTGCTGTCACCAGTCCCTCTCCTCTCCCTTCGACACTCCTCTTCCAAAAAAGCTACATGTAGAAGAGCATGAAGGCAGCCAGGCATGCCTCCTCATAAGCCTCAGCTTCAGGGAAGGAGACCCAATTACACACTGGGGCAAACAGCCTTTCATATACCTTCCCTGGGCATTCTTCTCTACAGATTCTCAGGAGAGCTCCTATTTCCACTTTGACATCTGACAGAAGGTAGCAAGGGCTGAGCAACCTTGTAGAGACTGACTGTTCTGATGTTGCTCTGATTATTCCTGCTATGGCCAACATGGTGTGATGTCCATAGTTCCCTTTGCTAATAAGGGAAAAGTTGAGATTGCAACACATCTAATGTAAAATATTAAAATACTCCCCAATGAGGGGTTTGCACAACCAGCCTTAACAACCTTACTGGGGAAATTAAAAAAGGGTAACGATGATGGTGTCAACACTTTTTTTTCCCCTATCTGTGTACATGAACACACATTTTAAAAAAGGGTTGTTTTTCTAGAAAAAAAGAGAAATGTTATGGACATAGAATTCCTTAAAAATTATTGTAAGAAGAAAAAAATTATATATATATATATATATATATATATAAAAATATATATATTTACCATGACCATAAAAATAATGCTTTCAGTTCTGCAATGCCTGTTTTTGACAAGACAAATCTTACACCAGCCTCAAGCTGATGCAAGCTGTCAGAGAATCAGATCCAACAGTTTCTTAATCCAGAACTTCTTTTGCTTCACGTAATTTTCACATTCATATATTAGCGATATTCGATATTCATGTAATAGTTCTGTTATACATTTAGAGCCAAAAAGGATTACTTTTATTTCTTTATAACCCTGTGCTTTTAAATGATGGTAAGCACAGCATTCACAGATATTTTAAAAGGACTGTTCCTGAAAATGAACACTGTAGCTTAGTATTACATATTAGCTGGATCCAACCCTTTATTTTATATTATGCATGTATCTGTAAAATACAGCCATTTTGTCCTGAATTTGGAAGACTTCTTTCCACTTGTTGCCTTCAATGTACTTAAGATTACAGAGAGGTAAGAAGGCAGTCTCTGTAAATCCTTCAATAATTCACAACTTTGATCATGGACAGTTTGTTTAGAAATGTGTCTATGTTGCTTAAATGAAAAGAGAAGTCAACAGAACTAAGATCTGCCAAAGAACAGATCCTTATTTCATCTTTTTGATATTTATTTCTTCCTTCATTGTTTCTCTGGAAGTGATGTCACTTGTCAAAAGAAATTATTAATGCTCTGTTCCTTAGTAGCAGCAACAGGAAGCCACGTTTCTTATCATGTGCTTCTCTTTGCATCAGAATCTGGATAAACCTCAAGTCCCATTCTTGCCAAAAAGATCTGTCATTTCATCTTTTGTGAGAGATTCCTGTCGCAAAATAGTGACTGAGGCTGATCTCCTGCCCTTCAGCGTGGTATCCAAATGGTGAGAAAGATCTGCACGGGCTAGTTACAAATCACTACCTCTCCTATCCCTCTTGCCTGGTGGAAGAGGCTGAAGTGTAAATGGAGGTGACTGCAGTATGGGGAGACCATAATATATTTTATTGCTGCTCCCTTTGAATATAGCTGCAGAACTTCTCCTGAAGTGACAGCACAGCACCCGCATTTTTAGAAAGTCAGTGACACAGATTTAAAATAGAAAAAAAAAATTGATTACTGAGGTGGGACATATACTTTCTTGTACAGACCACATGGTCAGATTCAGCAGTACTTCCTTGTTTTGAAGGGTCTGCTTCAGAAGATGTGGAATCTAACCACGTTAACGTTTTTAAATTTTTGAGAGGCTGTATTTTAAAACCTCTCCCCTCAGCTTCTGGCTTGAACATTCTCCTTTGCCAGAACAAGTTCCCTGGACTCCTTTTACACCACCAAAAATTCTCAAGCTTGATTGTGAGAGAAAAAGTAAAGCCCTATAAAAGCAAATAATTAGACCGAATGGAAGGGACCAAAGCTAAGGAAGTTAAAGCTTGAAGCACCATTACCAGAGATATACCCATGAGGGGTTAGCAGAGTCATAGATAAGAAAGCTGTGAAGTGTTTAACTAGGAAAAGGACACCCTACTTACTAAGACTCTATTAAGCACACACCATGAAATCTTACCCAGAGTTGCAAATCTGAGGTAGTGGGACCTACTGAACCGAGGAATGAACTAAGAGCCAAAAGCTGCTATGTTCAAACCTGGGCTTTGCCCCTATCTCAGTATCCACAGTCAATTCATTTAATGGCTCACTGAATGCCTGTGTTGCTATGTTTAGATGTAAATCATATGTTTATCTACTCATCTGAGTGAAGCTTCATTAAAGTTACAGGAATTTGAAAATTCAGGCTTTAGAGACTAAATCTGATTAAATTTCTAGCACTGTCTTTTATGTATTTGTTTTAATATTAGCTATATAGATGTATTAAAAATTCTGCAATTTTTAGATCCTATAATCTCAACTATCAAGACATCTATAAAAGTGTGATTAAGGCAAAACGTTTTGTCTTTGATGTTGTGCTACAGAAGAATGTTCAAGGAAAAAGGCTGATGACTGAGAACAGTAAGTAATCTTTTAAAATGTTATTTTATGCCATTTCTGCTATTGTTTCTGTCTCTTGTGGCTCTGTAGTTTCTTCACAATAGCTGTCTTTTCTGCATTTGCCACTGAGATCAACAGACATGTAAATTAAAGGAAAATCTGCTGGAGGTTGTACTTCTCTGTTTGGGATTTACCCTGGTCCTTGGTTGCAACACCTCACTGGCCTTCAGAGACATTTCCACTAGTGCCTCTCTTTAAAATCCCCCCACCAGCCCCACTCCTTTACAAAGTAACTTCTGAGGACAGTTAGTTATACAAAATACACTGTGCATCAACATTACTATTCCAAATAAACCATCATAAGAACGTATTTACAAAACAACCCTAATTACCACAGCCACCCCACTGCCACATCATTTTCAAATGAGACAGATCTGCATTTCTGTCCTAAATTCACTGTTTGTGCATCTTTGCCTTCCTATCTGTGAATCAAAGGGAGAAAATATCTGGGTGTAAAGCCATATGTGCAATGGCAGTGGAGATATGGACTTGGTGGAACCCTGGAGAAGGGACTTTATCAACTGGTGAGATACAAACATTAATTCAGCTGGGTACAGCATTTAACCCTACAGTGATGAAGGGCAGATAGTGAAGGTTCTCCAGTTATTTTGGCTAGCAAATGCCAAACACAACACAAGAGGTTTTCAGTGTATCAGGCAACACAACTAGTGATGGATCAACTGCTCTGTGTAAAAATGGTGAGGCAGACAACCAGCTCAACAAGATGGACTATAGACTCAAATTCAACAGAGTATGTGCTGGTAATGGAAGAAAAACTGAGGACAAAGAGCAATGGCATGCTTTCCAGGAGCAAAAAAGGCATCCTCTGACGCTCTGTGTGACAACTATTTTCATCAGGTTCAGTGAAAGCAAGCCAAAAAAAAAAAAAAAAAAAAGGACATCCTGCTGAAAATAAAACAGGCAGTTTGAGGCTCGTTATTGTGCATTTTGCCTGCACCTATGTGTGGGCTGAGAATCCTTTCTGCTAGGTTTCTTGCTTTTTAAATATATCACAAACACATCCACAGACGAATCATGAGGCACAGATCTGTCATGCAGCAGACTAATGTCAGCACTTCAGCCTCCTGGCTGTCAGGTCTGATTCCAAATAACCTTTTGTCTTCTTATTCCAGCTACTAAATTACAGATCAAGTGAAAAATGTAATTATACCCCAAAAGGCCATGGATACCATCTTAAAATACACTGAACTGTGAATAGAACAACAACAATAATAAAAAGATAAAACTAGGATTACCCGTGGTGCATAGCTAATCCAAAATGCTTCACGGTCCCACATGGGTTATTATAGAACTGTTTTCTATTTGCCAGTTTCTGTTTTAAAGGGACAAGTACCCCCCACCATTTTTAGTATAATTTTGATATTTGAAGTCTTGTGAAAAATACATCTCCCCTGTGCTTTGTCACTGAATTCTATTGTATCTGTTCTTCTGAAGATGATGCAGAACTTAAGCACTTGCAGTTTTAAAAGTAGTATCAAGATGGGAATATCGAGGCTTATTTTCTGTGCACAAAGTTAGTTGCTAAATTTTTACAGAAAGAAAAAATATCAAAAGTCTATAAGAATATATTCTTTTCTCAATTATCTCTGAGTATATTATGTGGGATTGGAAGTGCTAGCAAATACTGAATTAACTTGTTTTTTCATCTGATTATTGGAATATTAAATGTGCAAGGACTTCTCCTGATTCTTGCACATGTCTATAAATATATAGCTGTTCAAAATACTAAATTATTCTTAGCAACACCTGGCAAGAT